TCCCTAGTATTAATTAATAGTGCATTGCAATTTTTACTGAGTAGATTAATCAACAGATTAATACATATGTATTGCAAAAAAAAATTAATAGGATAATGACCTATTATGTATATAAAAACAATTGACGACTTTGGAGATAAGTCGTTATATATTAATTGTTTTTGCGAAATATGTGTTAAATAGATACATAATAGGTCATTATCCTATTAAATTTTTATATGCAATACATATGTCGAGCTGTTGATTTATCTACTCAATAAAAATTATATAATTATTGTACATTTTATTTTAAATTATGGGCGCTCTTTTTATCAATAAAAGTGAAACAAAGTTCACCCCTCACCTTGCTTTTGTTATTATATGTTTGCTTGTGTTATACTTGAACGCGCCCATGTTACCAATTCCCTTCTACATTTTATCAAATTCAAAGCCGCCAAAAGGTGACAAATGTCTAGGTACTTGTATCTGAAGTAGATATTTTATCTGGTTAAATTTTACTACTGATACCAACTTCCGTTCATATCCCCTTAGAACGGTCGACGCGTCAAAAACTACCACAAATACATTTCATTTTGAAAAAAAAATACAGATTAACAACATATCATATTGCCGTTAAAATTAATTGCAACATCGATTTAAAGGAATCCCGCGCGTGATAAGACCAACAATCGTCTTTTCAATCAATGCTTCCGCGATGAACTCGAGGAAACCAGTTCCTAATTATGGCAACATGGAAAAAGTGGGAAAAAATTAAGGCAATCTAGCAACACCGCGCCGCCGTTTCGACGTTTCGATACACGCGAGAGTAGGAAACGATAATAATCAATTGACTAACTACTAGAAAATCACTAAGAAACTAAACACGTCGTTTCATTGTGTTACAAAACACCATTTGTCTCTAGGACGAGTTCCAATAAAAACTTATAACTACGTACCAAAGTTCATAACCTAAGTGCCAAACGATTGTACTAATAATTGTTTTTTTTTTAATTCAAACTATCAAAATGGAAGCATTGTCTTATGGGGTTGGTTTTAGTCAGTGGGATACAATGGTAAAAATTAGCTGAGGCTAGTTAGCGAGAGTGGTAACTTAAACAACTAGTCAAAGCAGCCGAACAAGTCGAAATTACAAGATACATGTCGCATGCGTGTTAATGATATTAAAATTACAACATACATGTTGGCAAGTTCGTTATTACTTTTACTATTTATGCCACATAGGTAGTTGAAAACTGTATTGTGACACATTTTATTTTAATATACACATTTCAACTACAGGAAATAAAAAATAAGTCGGAAGATAGTAAAATTTAAATTCAGCACAAAATTCGGTCTTATCCAATAATTAGGTATAGACACTTCTATTTCTGTGTACGTATCGTTAAAATCCATTAAACATTATATATTATATTAAATATTTTTAATCCTTGTAAGTTTTAGTATACGTTTAGTATAGTATTGTAATCATAAAAGCCATATCATGTATAATACACGACTAGGTATACAAGGTTTAAAACCATACAACTTGTAATTCCGACATCAATTAATATAAAATTTTATTTTAAGCCCAATTGTCGATATTACATAGCTTAATTTAGTACATACTGGACTTTTTTGTAAGTATATTAGGCCCAACAGTGAAAAATAGTGCATCCAATCGATAAATATATTCATTTAAGGGTTCTAGACATCACTAACTACTCAATAATATATAGACATGGACATACAGACAGTTAAAATTGTACTATATATTTATATATATATCGGTCAAAAGAGCTACGTGATATTTGAACATCGGCGTACGATGTGAATACGTATATATATATATATATATATATATATATATGTTATAATATTTATATTACGATATGGCCAATACATTTAGAACCTAACGGAACTCCATCGGAGCAATACGAATAGTTACGAATAGTTTCACAATAAAAAAAAAATTCAAACAACAATGAAAACAAACGCGCCATGACCGTCCAGGTAAGGCGCCTTCAAAAACCCAGAGAAAGAAAACTTAATAACATCATAGAATAGAATCTGTTAGAAATTCAACTATTGCGAAACAACAACTTCGTATTCATATATTATTTTTCTACACAATCTTTGTACACAGCGCCGCGCTGGTTTCTAATGCGCGAGTACATAGAAAAAAAAAAATCAGCACTATACTTAACGACTATTAAATAATCTTATAGCCTTTGTAAATTGATTTAAAAAAAAGCACACACACGCACACACACGCTACGGCCTCGTGGTCGTATCGCCAGTTACAGTGTAGCGATAGTTAGCCAAAGAGGAAAAAAAATATATGCACTTAAAACTACACGAACTTAACATGGAAGATATCATTTTACACTACGCTTTTGTTTTGGTTTCGTCCTGTCGGATACGGGTGACAGTATAAAACAGCATTTGTGCACACCGTACGGAGAGAGAGATAGAAAAGATAAAAATAAGGTATTTCAAATTAAAGCGTCATTAAAACCCTAGCGATTACCGTAAGCCGGAGATTACAAATGTAATTTTACATGTGTTACGTATTATAAAAAAATATTAATATGCATGGTACATGCGTCATCTCGTAGCATGCTATTACTAAATTAAAAAAACACTAAAAACTATAACATTAATGAGGAACTGGCTGTTATTAACAAGAAAACATTCTAAATCCGATCAGCCCTAAAACGATGAGAATTACAAAACGCATGTCGTAACATGCATGTGTTTCATCAGCCGCGAAAATCATGCATCGTAGCGGCATAGTAATAAAGCTGAAATTCGTACGCGACGTTACAAACAACGACGGAAACCGGCCTACCCGTCGGCCGAAGCAAAAATCACCTTTACCGTAAACGCAGTAAGGATCAATTCCGTGAATCAATTCCCCTAAACCGTCTATCACTAAGCCTATACGCACTATCTATACAAATTCATCCGAAATCATGTCACGTTCAATAAATAGTGGTACTCTTATACGCTAATAGTTCATAACTTCATTCTATATACTTTTTGTTTGCACGAAACTTGATATATTAAAATAGTGTCGCCTAGTTTTAATATGGAAACATCACATTTCATATATAATGGTATATGAGAAAAAGAAAAGTTCTTCTTCGTTTTCGGCGCGGGCGAAATATTGTCCTGTAAAGTGTATAGAAATATTGTGCAAAAATCAAATCATCTCGAAATGACTAGAGATTATGCGAACGCGAAAACGGTTCCATGCTGGCGAAAGACGTGCGAGGGAGACAGACATATCCCTCCAACAGATGTTGTGAATCAGTTAGTGATAGAAGTTTTTTTTTAAAATAAACAAACTAAATATGATAAATTCAGTCGAGTACATATTTCGCCCGTGCCGATTTTAAAATTTGGCAAGTTCATTTCAACACTAGCCAACGATAGCGATCCCTCGGGACTTCGTGTTACGTAAAAAAATCCAGCCAAGCATACGATTATCCATAAACTATGCAAGGTATTATAACTGGATCATTGAAAACCTACACACTCACTAAAACATTTAGATTTAATTTGAACATTCACTATAGACGTGGTCTACTAATTACACCTGTTTGAATCCAGCGAGTCCAAAATTACTCATTACAAATTGATAGGTGCACTTTGCTAAATGCATTTCTTCTGTCAATCTCAAAAATGTGCGACACGCATTTTTATAATTAATAAAAATTACAGTTGATATGACGTAGACAGGATTGCAACGACCCCGGTGAATTTCCTATAAGCCTACAGTTTAAACGGCAACATTTAGTCTAAAGATACATTTAGGAGTAGCGAGTGGAATTTTATTGTTAATTTAACATTTATTATAGTGTATAAAAAGTTGTAAAGACCGTATGGAAGTAAAAAAACTTTAAGACTGCATAAAAGTTATCAATATGTGAGCTTTGCCGTGTAGACTATAGGGGTGTATGTATATAAATATATTAACTACGATAATATTGCATCTCAATTAGAGGGATTTTTGTTTTGTCAAACATATTTACTTATAAATGCATGTCATATGTTTACAACAGAATAGCGTTTAAGCTTTCTCTATAATTTCAATAAAAACTTTGAAGCTATTACAAATCCCTCATTGGGATTCTTTTAATGAATGAAAGTTGGCAATGCTATATGTCTTATGATGTCTATCATATCTTTACAGAGTATATTATAGTTAATAATCTATTATAAAGTATTGGAAAATTAAAAAAATAACTTGTTATTTCAAATATGGTCCTTGTAGTCTCATTTAAACTCTTCAGAATAAAAATTAATAAAGTCTCATCGCAAAAATTTCTCTATTAAATAATTTATATAAATAGCGATAATAGTATGGTTTACCCTTTTCTCCCCGTTTCATTTGATTAACTTAAACATGTAGCGATATGAACATTGCCAGGTTTTCACTCGTACTAAGATAATTTATAACAAATCATCATTATATCGAAACGCGACGGGGAATATTAAAATTAAATTTGGAAAACGCGAGCCAAAGTATGCTGGAGCCAGTAACATTTATTTTGGCAAATTCATAGAGCTAGTAAGCTTAAGGGAGTCACTTGCTCGAGCATAAATCAGCACATTAAATATACAGACACCAATCAACTAATTGAATCTATCTCAATAACCTCGACCCGAGCAAAAAACTTTAGCGAACGCATCCCTGAAACATCGAGATTTTCGCTACGAAGTTAATTTAAATAGATATAATTTAAATATATATATATATATTCTACAATAAAATCAAACAATTCATTTCACAATTCTCAATTAGTCTAAACGCCCGGACGGGGTTTATAGCGCACCCGAAAAATTCCTTCCCTATAAAAGACCGCTCCGAATCACATTCAAGATTACCAGTACCCCCGAACACCCACAGTATCCCACATCGGCTCGTGTTAACCGTCAAAATTATCATTTTGGCTCCTGTTTATCCCAGGACTATCAATTTGGCTTAATTTGATCCGGGGATTATCAGTTTGGCTTTAGTTTATCGGCCCGGTTGCCAAGTAGTGGTAGGGGTGGCGGTTGTGGAACCTGTTGTCGTACCTGTTCTTCTGGTAGAAGTCGTTGCGTCCCTGGTTCACCTTGTGCCTGTAGTTCTGCGCCCTGCGCTGTTGGCTCTTCTCCTGCGGCCTGTCTGGCTGCTTGTTCGTTTGCCTGTTGTTGTTGTTGTTGTTGGTGTTGCCATTGTTGTTGTTTTCATTCTTCGCGTCGCCCCTCGGTGCGGTCGAAGCCGATGTTGACGGCGATGTGTTCGCGGCTGGCCTTTCCTGCAAGTAGTGAGGGAAATGATGAAAAGCGAGAAAAAAGACTGTCTCCCTCTTGCTCCGGATGCGGGAATACATCTTTATATACATAATTCTTCTGTGCGCGTGTATGGCACTGAACTCCTCCCAAACAGCTGGACCGATTTTAATAAAATTTTTTGTGTGTCTTCAGGTGGATTCGAAAATGGTTTAGATTTACAATACACTGCAATATGTTTTTTTTAATTAACTTTTTATTTATAAAATTTTTGTTGGATTTAAGACGGGTGTGCAGGACGTCTGTCGGGTCCACTGGTTATTCTATAAAAGAGAATCTTATCCTTGTAATTTCAGTTGAGAAAACAAAATTTGATTATCACTAATCTAAAACTCCCTGTAAAGTGAAATATCTACTAACCTCCTTCGTTTCGCCGACATTCGGCTTGTTCGCCTGCAAGTTCGAATTGGATGCATTCTCTTGGGCGCTTTGTCTCGGCGAAGCTACTTGCGAAGGCGCCTGGTTAGAACTCTCGTGCTGTTAATAAAACGGCAAATTGTAAGAAAAACGTAAGTAACAGCCGATATATGTATGTCCCATAGCTGGGCACAGACGTCCTCTGTATAGAGGGTATTAGGGCATAGTCCACCACGCGTCTCAACTTCACATATATTTGAAATATTTCTTTTTACCAATAATCATAAAAAAATATTAACGTTACACAAAATCCATAATAAAAAAAAATATTTTTTAAACTATCTAATTAAGTAAAAAAGAAGCAAAATTTGTAACATCCTACACAACTCGTATTACAAGACTCTCCTTCTAACAGTATGTTTTGTCTCTTTTAAATTCATTCAATCCATTCATATGCTTTGTGACCTTTACAAATGAACTTTACGTTACGCTTTTATAGGTAAGGGTATTCTAAAATTTTTCTTTTGGAAAATTTAATAACTGTGTAAATATTGATGTATAAAGAATTTAAATGTTTAATACAATTTTAAAAAGTTATATGGATGTTCATTTATTGTCGCGATGGTAACGACACGCTGTATGCAGGTTTCCTCGCGATATTTTCTTTCACCGCTTAGCACGTGGTAAGTCAGCGCATAAAATTAACAGTTTCATTGGTGCCGGCAATGCGGATCGAACTCAGGTTGCTCGAGTGTATTGAATTAAAAGCGAGTGCTCGGACAATGAGCTATCACGGCCCAAGAACTAAGTGGGCCGAGGTTACAGACGAAACGCGAAAGTATTATTACTTACACATCAAGCCGGTCTTCTGTTAAGCCGTAGCACTTCCCCAGACCCATTAGTACAAGCTGATGCATGGCGATCGTGAAACATCGTGGATGTGCTATCGGTACGAGCGAGCAACAAGGGGTCGCTGACCCCGTTCGAAGGAGCAGGGGTCACTGACCCTGACTGGGACAGCGACAGGTGTACCGTTGGTGATTTGTGCCGCGTTAAAAAAGAAGGGTAACTGACTCTAGTCGTGTTCTATTAACAGGTTTATTTTAAATTGTTTGACTTTAGGATAACATTATCCTGTGTTGCTGTTTTACAAACATAAATTTCACGAAGACAAACACCCAGATGCGAAACAACTATCCGGGGTTCACACAAAAAGTTGTCTCAGTCAATTAACAGGTTTACGAAATTAATCAAAGAAATCATTTTAAAAAGCGTTATTATAATGTAAATGAATACATTAATGATAATGTTCTCAGGGAATGAGATGATCTCTCATCCGATACATCGATTACACATTCAATATCGAAATCATATGCGAATCCGGCACAGAGTATATCGATATTTTCCCTTCGATATATCGAGACCGATATCGATACTTTTATAAATATCGATATACCGATATACTTGGACATCCCTGAGGGGCACTGACCCTGGTCGCGGCGGAGGGCGCGGGCGGCGAGTGGGGTGGCGCGAGCGCCACCGTCAGCGTGAGGTCGCACCACATCGCGCAGCGGGCGCGGCGCGCGCACGCGCTCAGCTGCTTCACCGCGTCCGCCAGGTGCAGGATCGCTGCGACAGAGATGGAACGTGAGCCTCTCTTTCTGGCCTCAGCGGACTCTCCGTACAGGGCTCGCGAGTCGGACCGCCGCTAGCGATCGACGGCGCTACAGAGTTCACATACATCCACAAGTTCGTAAGACCATGCTAATTCTTTAAATTCAATTATCTAAACGAAACCGCCATATAGCATGTTGTACGTTAAAAAAAGTTAGGTATATTGCTGCGTCCCACGATCGTAGCGCCATCTGGAAATCTGTGTCCAACGCAAGTACGGTTGAAGCCTGTTCGAAATTCAAACCGCGGATTCGATCGAATCATGAAAAAGAATAAAAGCAAAGCGATCGAGGCGCTTTAGGCCAGCGCGAGCTACCGACGCTTTTTTTTAAATTACTATTTAAAAAAAAGCGCGCACGGTCGGAGCACGTTCGAAATTCAAAATGCGAATGGAATCACGAAAATGAACAAAAGCGAAGCGCTCGGGGCACGTACGGTCAGTGCGCGGGTGGCGCGCGTGCGGGCCGTGCGGCGCCAGCTCGCGGCGCCGCGCCGCCTGCACGCCGGCGACGGCGTTGCGCCACGCCAGCATCGCGCTCTCCACCTCGCTGTGCGGCGCGCTGGAACAAGCCGCAAGCGTATACATCACGCAACCGCTCCAGCCGCTGCACGAATGGGCAGGTCCGTCCGGGTTTGCGTCCACGTGTTCCCGTGTCCCCGGCCGATGCGATAGAGACAGGTGCAACGTGGGTTTTTTAGTGGCTACCCGTTTCTCACCGGGACTCCCACATACCCCTGCCTCTCCCCCGATCCAGTGGTAGGGGATCTCTAAAGGATTTTTCCCACGAAAAAAAAAGGTCCGTCCGGGTTAGTACCACGACCTTACAGAACCGGCGTAAAGTTAAGTATAATACTTTCGCGTTTCGTCTGGTGAGTGAGGTTGCCAGGGCCCACTTTATTTAAAGGTGGCAACGCATTTGCAACCCTACCGGTTTTGGGGCGGCGGTTGTCACTTAACATCAGGTGATTTTGATTTGAATTTCGAACTATTTGGCGCACGGCGACTGGTTCGCGTTTACAGTACTCACATCTCGGACATGTTGCCGATGTCCTCCCGCCACGTGGAGGGTTCGAAGACGTCGGGGGGGCCGCCCGAAGCGGGGGAGGGGGCGGAGGCGGAGGCGGGCGAGGGGGGGGCGACGTTGTCCTGCCCCCGCCGGAGAACAGTTATCCTGGCGGGATCCTCGGCCGGCTGGTGACGGCCGGCTCGCCTCGAGTTGGCAACGCACACGCTGGCGCGGAGCGTCTCCATCTTACCCATCAGCGTAAGCACCTGGAATTGGACGGAGATAAAGATTGATAGTCGTGCCGCGATAGCTTTTAAGAGTAGACGGCAAGTGAAGCTCGATATTGGTGAATAGAGATAGGATTTCCTATTACCTCACTCGCCAGACGATACGAAAAAAAAAGACTTCTGCTATTGAGCCAAGCCGTAAGTAAGTACTGCAATATGCGGCGTGGCAACTTTTAGTAGAAATAATCGGCTGCTTCTTGGTATTCGGTTAGTTTGTCTATGGTTTTTTATTATCCACACAATCGCACTCACCCACAAGCACACTTGTTTGTTATGGTATACCGAAGTACCTCGATGAAGCAACACCACACTACTTTAGCGCGGGCGACACATGCTCATGCGCATGTGCGGGAGCGTGATACAAACCAGCCCAGTACGCCCACACCGGACCGCACGTGTCCAGTGCGCCTGCACATGTCGACATGTGAGCACGCATGTCGACATGCGCGCGTCCACACGCACCTTCGTGTGCTCCCGCAGCATGTCCACCGTGAGCCGGTCGACGCGCGTCGGGCACGGCGGCAGCCGCGGCACCGGGATCGAGTTCGACGAGGAGACCGCTCGGCCCGGATAGGCGAGCGCGAGCCGCGCCTCGGTCCGCTTCCGCTCGCGCTCGAGCTGCCGCCACTGCTCGTAGCACGCGTCGAGGCGGGCGTGCAGCACGCTCGAGGCGGTCGCCGTCTGCCTGCAAGCGGTGACGTCACGAGAGCGGTCGCCGAGGGAAAACGGGGCCGGGCGCCACAAGCGGTGACGTCACGTTACGCGGGCATGGTCGCGTATGGCGTACGCCGTCGCGGATCGTAGGCGATGACGTCACCAGTACGTTCGCCAATGGACGACGCAGCCGCGCATCGTATGGGTCATCGGTGACTTCACACGATGGCCCGGCCGCGGCGGACGGCGGTGGTTGTGAGCACCACAAAAATATATTATATGCATTGTGACGTGTATTTCTATGGAGAAAATTCAAGATGTCTGTCTGTTCGATTATATTTTAAATACATTTTTGTTCTTGCCGTTTACGTATTCACATCTTAATATATTCTGCACACTTTATTTTATCAATCACTCAACCAATTATTCGTTCCCTACTTTTTCCATTCATTCACTATTGTCATTCATCTTACAAGTGTCAAAACTCACAGTGTTATGATTTACTCCCCTATCGAACATTTCATTTATTTATTAACACCTTACCTGAGGCTCCTCATGGCGTGGTAAGGTGTTAGCGGCATATCCACTTGAGGGGAGGGTAGTACTGTCGGCGGGACCGGAGGACTAGGGCCCAGTAGCGCGCCAAGCCCTGTCCAGATTAAGAAGATGTTAAACAGGTTAAAGTGAATTAAGCGCCCGGTTAAGGCCAGATGAAGAGGTCACTACACATTTTCATCTATACGACGATTAAGATTCTGAAGTAAATAATAGGACCCGGAGGTTTGTTTTTTTTTTTTTTTTGGTAAATCGTGTATTTTGGAAATTACATTTAGATATAAATAACAGAGTAATGAAATATGCATAATATTTTTCGATCTTACCGACGTAATAATAAGAAAATACGAACTGATGTTTTTCACAAAAGAAAGAACTTAAAAAAAAAGGGAAAAGAATTACAAAATAACAAATCGACAAAAAATTAAAAATAAAGAAAGAAATGATCTGGAATTATATATATATATATACAAGAATTGCTCGTTTAAAGGATAAGATTAAATATGTATCGCAATCCAAGTTAAGCTTGTAACTTTTGAAAAATTTGTTTGCGCTGCCAGGGTTCATATCTGCGTGTACTAGGTAACGCACCCACTCTATAGGCGTTTCACAATCGATTATTTACCAACATTTTATTCAGAAGATTTGGCACATAAAACATTGGAAGGAAAAACGACCCATAAGCGAAATAGCCTAATAAACGAAACCATTGGGCCTATGCCCACACAGCCTAAATTGTTCCTCCGAGGCCTTTCGGTCCGAACAATAACCATCCCACTCACCGATATTGAACGGTGCGTTTTCGTGCAGGAACGAGACGTCCACGTTGAGCTGGCTTGGCGGCGGCCGGGTGCGCATCATCAGCGCCATCTGACGGGCCGCGTCCTGCCCCTGGCGGATGGGGTCCCTCGGGGGGCCGTCGTAGCACCGCTGCTGTTCCAAGCCGTTCGCTTGATAGCCGTCGCGTCGCTGGAACTCGCCCGGGAAGCCGGCCGGGCTCGGCTTGTAGCCCATCTGGCAGCCCGGCTGTCCGGGGAAGTAGTCCCCGGGCGGCTCGTAGGGCGGCGAGTAGTACTCGCCGAACTTGCCCGGGTAGCCGCGCCCGTAGAGGGCCTTCGCCCTGTCGTCGGGCGCCTTGAACTCCTCGCCGTAGGCGCCCACGTCGTACTTGTACTCGGCCGGCGGTTGATCTTCGCGAGCGCGGTCGAACGACAAGCTCAGCTGGCTCAGGTACGACAGCAGGTCCACAGAGTCTTGCGGCTCCTTCGCGTAGCCGGCGTAGCGAGGCGCGCCGTAGCCGTCGTAGCCGTAGCCGTAGTTGTTCGCGAACGCGCCCGCATCGGGCATCGGCTGGCGCTGGCCCTGCTCGGGGAACGCGTAGAACTTGTCCTCGTACTTGTTGTTGGGCGCGGCGAACTGGGCGCCGCCGATCTCCTGCGCGGCGAGCCGCAGCAGGTTGAGCTGTTCCGGCGTGACGGTGTCCGCGGCCACTTCCGCCACCGGGTCGAGGCCGAGGAGGCCGTTGACCTCGCCGTCCGCGTAGCCGGGGAAGCCGTTGGGCGCGAACGCGCTGTCCGGGCCGAACACGAACGTGCCCTGGTCATGGCTCCGGGGCGAGAAGTCGAACAGCGAGCCGCCCTGGAACCCGTTGAAGGCCGGCGGGGCGTACGTCGGCGCGGTGGGTTCGCTGATGGAATAAGAGGCGGCGGAGGCGGTGGTCGGTTGGCTTACGGGCGCCTTTTCCGACGGCGCGGCGGAGCTGTAAACAAATGTGCCATCATCCTTATCACCAGGATAGTAATCCTTACTAATATTATAAACGCGAAAGTTTTTGGACGGATGTTTGTTACTCTTTCACGCAAAAACTACTGAATATATTTTAATGGAACTTTACAATAATATAGGTTATACATTAGAATAACACATAGACTATAATTTGTAAAGATAACTTTGGTAGGGCCACGCAGCAGCCTCGTCTGTTGCACGAATGGGCAGGCTAGTCCGGGTAAGTACCACAACCTCACAGAACACCGGCGTAAAGTGGAGTGTAACAAATACATTCGCGTTTCGTCTGGTGAGTGAGGTAGCCGGAGCACAATCTTCAAAAGGTTGTCAACACGTCTGTAACCCTCGGGTGAAGCCTGTGGCATAGTCACGTGTGAGACAGGCGTTGAACGTACTATTTTGCTGACGTTGACGCGTTTTATTTGCTGACGTATCTCATAGACGCCTTTAATAGAACCAAAAGCTGGCACCTGGACCCAGATCGAAAGATATAGGTATAAGAGAGCTGGAAGGGTGTTCAGGTACCCGCTTTAAGTTCTAGTAAATAGAAAAACCCGAGTCGCTAAATGCAATTTAAGTGCATTTTAAATAATTACATTTGCATAGAAACATTATAATTATTAACCTATTTAAAAGGAAATTTTTCGGTGGTATATGCAGTGTGACAACCCTCGGTAGGCTTGCGTGGCAAATTATTACTCAGAGGCACATTTGTATATACAGAGATATATGACTATATATGTATAAGCTGTCACTTTCTAGGAGGGTCACATTTAATTTATTATAATACAAGTGTAAAAATCTACTCTAACGTTCGTTTATCATTCATGCACTCCCGAATTTCTAACAAGGACAATGGCGGACGATAAAGTCAATTGAATTGAGGTTGGAGGTCGTTTTAGAGACCGTATTGTAACGAAACATTTGGTTCGCTGTATGTTCCGTTACAATACGATATTCAAAGCGATCGATACTTCCCATGTCCACTGACCCCATGTTACATTTGTGAAAGTTATTTTAAAACCAAAAGCGATAGATTAGATTCTGCTGCATTGTAGCAATACTTGCAACAAAACGCATTATTGGAATACTAAACAATTATAAAGTGATTCAAAAATGAATTATAAACGAACCTGTTCTTAACTTTGAACACTTGTAACTTTATTTCATTTTTGATTATTCATTATTATTCATTGACGGCAATTAACTACTTATTTATATTACGTACAGACTTTAATGCACTACAAATCCAAACAAAAGAAAGTCAACTTTCGACTACTTTACTTTAAAAAAAAATGGGGAAAAACACACATGTTGAAGTAAAACTTCTTAGCAAACTGAGTATTAAATATATAAAGTATAGCTCTCTCTTCGTTATATCTTTCATGTCACTTTGTAATAAAATATGCCTAAACGTGGCGCGTCCTTGAAAATTCACTCTTATTTCTCTTTCAATAATTGCCTCCTAAGAAGTCCCCTTTCAAGAAAGAAATAGTCTTTAAGGAGCCATTAATAGCACAGTATAGTAAATAATCTACATTCATCATCATTTCATAGGCAATTCCCATCACCCATTGTGTCCTAGTACCTCGCGAAGCAGCAAATGCTATAACGTAATTCCTGCACCATTACTTCATAACTTACAATTGATATATCAGGACATTTTGAAAGAAAATCCAATAAGCCATCACGGGCCGACTCACCCATTCTTTTCAGTGGATCCAGTCTCATCGAGGATTTTCGTGATGAGCTCCTGAACCATCGAGTTTTCCTCCATAAAGCGATCGGACTGAAAGCAAATAAATCAATAAATACTCCCCATCCTTCTCAACATACATGCATTAACATTTCCATAGCATAAATAGCAACACCCTCATTCTGCCCATTTGTCCACCAAATATTTTAAGCTCTTGCAAACATCAAAATAGACCGTCATCACAAAATGTTGTTCAGAGATAAATTAGTTGTACGATTTTCCTTTTTCTAAACAGCACTTACAACACTTTCAAAGTAAACGAAACGGGTCAAATTTTAACCCAATATAATAAATGTTAAAGTGTATGGATGCATAAACTGCATAACGAGTTGTCGCCAGCGGTATTTCCAGACCGATACGACTTAGAGACCTTCAAGAAGAGAGCCTATTCCTTCCTTAAAGGCCGGCAACGCAATTGCGACTCAACCGATGTTGCAAATGTCCATGGGCTGTGGTGATCGCTTATCACCATGTGACCCACATGCTTGTTTGCCTTCTGTTCCCATAAAAAAAAAAAACTTATTCGTTTCACAAATGAAAAACATTTTTCATGTAAAGTTTCATTGTATCAATTGTAACTTTTTACTACATAAATATAACTTTGAAGTCTCAAACCCAAAAGCACTTAGATTTATGTCTAAATAATTACATTAATATATGAAGACTAAATGTTGCTACTGAGGTCGAAAACAATTTGAACCTGCAAACTTAATCAAACATCCCAACACTAGCCCACCGTTGCTTAGTTTTCTCACAAAAATGAATATTTAACTATTTTTTAAATTTTCACTTGTACAATCTTGCAAAGATCAAATTTAATAAACCATTTCTGCCTACATAACACATTTGAGCAGCATTATTAATGATATTATTGTTCAGTGTGTATTTTAAATGCAATCACCAACTGATATGCAACAAAGAATATGTCAAGGATGGTCATATATTTAATGACAATAAAAAATTAACAAAACACATTTGTTTTGTATATTTCAAAAATAATCCAATAATAGTGAACATGATATACATAATTATGTGATGGTAAAGAGCTAATTCTATTTGGAATACTTTTATAGCCATGCAAAAGGATGTACTAACAAAAATTATGTTCATTTCAGGATAGGTTACAAACAAGCAGTTAGTTTACATGATACTAAGTGATAACTTAACCCATGCAGTTTCCAATGGCAAATATAAAAATCAAAATTGCTATGGTGCTATGTTTAATAAAAATATCATATATAGTGTAAACCATATTATGTATTCACATCTCAAACATCAGTATTTTTTTTGATAGTCAAATTACTACCACCGATTCAGAAAAAAAAAGTCACTGAACTGAGGAGAACCGGCAAAAGAAACTCAGTGGACAATTTTTTTTTCATTTTGTGATATGAATATAACATATGACATACATTGTGTGACATGAATATATTAAATGCAATATAAAAAGTCCAATTGAAAAAGCCTGGAGCAATCAATTCATTATCAGAATGTGTTAACATTTAAATAATCATTAATGTTTTAATAGCATTTAACACACAAACATTCCTTTACAATTTTACTAAAATTAGCTAATGATACATTTTGAACGTTTTCTGGGATTTAATTATAGAATTTAATACAATGTCCCATAAAAGATTTACTTATTCTACTCAGTCATCTTGTTTGTTCCTAGTGTTCTGCTTGCTTTCACTCCATAGACTTTATAAAGCTGCATAGAGCACACAGGTTTTGGAAAGGCTATGTTTCCACAAGGTTGATAGACTACCTAAGCAGAGTCATGCATATGGACTATTGCATGCATACCAAAACGAGGGACTCGACAACGGGTCATCGAGGCCCCTGGCACCATCGCATCAACGGCCATCGCATGTATCATTTGTTGGCTGGGTTGTTGAGCACCACCCCAGGAAGGGGTTGTACCTCATGTACAGAGTGTGTTGGTTTTGCAGTGCTCATAGAAACTAGGGTTCAATTGGTAATTTGCTGACCTTAGCTGTCCAGTCCGTCCAGGACAGTGGTACCCAATGGTCCACTGACTTGACACTGATTTTCAGCTCCCTATTGGGATTGAGCAATGAGAAAGCACATACTTTTAGCACAGTGATTGATATGATTGGATTTATGATTGCAGATACGGCCAGTTTCAATATTCTATCTACAGTTCTATAGATTTGGGTGGTTATAGATTTTTCACATTAACTCCATACTTATGTCAAAATTCTATCTCCAGTAACCAATTCTATCTGTAGATAGCTTAATGAAATAGGCAGTACTGATCGTATTTTTCTCTTTATTTTTCTTTGAATTATATATTTAAAGTTTTATTATCTATGAAAAAATTAATGCATTATTTTAAACCAAAAGCAATTAATCTATAACATTTACTGAAATTAATGGGGCTACAGTTACTTATTATAAACTCTGATATCTTTTATTGTTGTTACAAGTGCTTTAAATATTGTACTAATTTATATTTTATAAATCGAAATTTTCTTTCTAATAATTATAATTAATATTTTTTTATAAATGACATATATCTTGCAAAAATTATAATTTGGAACATCTGTGTTACTGTTAAAGATGATTTGTCTTTTATTTTTGGTTGTGTTTTAAAGAAATATAAAATAACTTGTTGACCTGTGTTATTACTAGTAGAATATTTCAGTGTGTTTCAAAATCACAAGTGCATTCTTGTTTTAAAAATATTATTGAAAATAATAGTTGTAGTCAATCCTGCATGTTTTCAAGTTTTATAATAAAAGAAATTTCAGATTTGGACTAAAACGGAGAACCATCAAAAAACATCTTGAGGAATCCCTATTTTATTCGATAAACATTGATCCAAAAGAAGAGAAAATTGCAGCGGATCATAAAGAAAAAGTGGGATGAACTGGAGATTTACTTAAAAGATCCAGAAAAAAAATGAATTTTAAAAGGAATTTTATGGATTACATAGCTCTAGTACATTTGAACCATGTGTATGAATTGAACACTACCTAAATCAAAACATATTCTTGTCACTGTGTGTACTGTACCTCTTTATTTTTAAAAGCCAAAGTGCATAAAATACATTGAGATCATAGCTATATTACTACCCATATTGCACACGGTTGAAATGAAATGTCCAACTATGACACTCAAGTACTAAATTTACAGGACTTGCCATTATGTTGATTTTTGATTGTGTGTACCAAGTTGAGAGATATTATGGTAGTAACTAAGCTTGCTTCTAAGCTCAAAATGTGTTGTACATTTTTTATCTGAACTTTTACCAAAACTGTTGTTATGTAGATAATTTTATAAAAAACAATTTCATTGCAGCTAGTATGGGATTTATTTCATAATATTACATATATGGTGTTTTTTATGCCATGATGGGTCATCTCTTTGATATCTTTGGGTGAAATTAAAATAACTGTAATGAAATAATTAGGTTTGTAAAACATAATTTTTTTTTATGCTTTCATATAATAGTGCATATTAATTAAAAAAAGTTACAGGAATTACTTATTTTTAAAAGTTATAAAACAAGGTATTTGCATAATATTGTCATGAATTCTTATTAGCATTCAAATAGGAATGGTTAAAAGAAAATAACAAAAATATTGTGATTAAAGAGAATATATTATGTATGTCTATTCATTTGTTTTGAACTTTTGTGAGGAAGAATACAAAATCAAATAGGTAAACAGGAAATACACATAATTGGACATGTTACACAATTTGTTCTAACATAAGCATACAAAGTGGTGAAGGCGTAAGTTGTTATGATTTCGTCTCGCAACAGTGAAGGACGTTCGGATATGCAAAAGTTCACAGAGAAAGTACACACAACCCTAAGAACTGCGTACCACTTAATGCCACACATACGATGCAAACCATAAAATTTACAACTAATGAGGGTTTTAACCGAAAATATGTCAAAAGCCGTACTCGTCGGCGTTACCTGCTGCAGTGTCCTCTAAAGAACAAGCTACATAATTCTAAAAATATTGTATGCAGTCCATCGATGTCATCAATCGCCTCCGTAAAAACTATACGTGTTAGGCATATCACTGTCACCGCAAGAGTAGCCGTGATATCGAAATATAACACTCATCGTGTACACAAACGATCACAACATGCACTTTTTACAAATATTTACGACATTTTCCCGGATTTTGGGGTCAAACTGACAGCTACATACGACATTTCTAACACCCATTCAAAAAGGCACTTTTCAACAACACTTCGCTACTCACCTGATCAGAATCATTTTCAACGGCTTTAAACGCGTTACTTATTTGACACAAATCACTGAAGGCCATTTAAAATTAAAAAATTATTTCTTGCCACGGTACATAGGAGCTACGAGTGCTAAGCCATTTTTTTCATTGACCTACATGTGTATATATCGTGTCGTGCTCTAGCTCGTAGCACTAGTGTTGCCGTCGCATATTCGCTCACACGGCTTTAAACAATTACATTTAGTAAAATATTAATAAATATATTCCGAAGACTTACTTGTAATTCAATAAATTAAGGTTTTAGGGTGTGAGTTTGGTATGAGTGCTTAATTTAAAATCTTAAGATTAAAACAACTTTCGCGCCATAAAAGTGATTTTTTATAAATAATTTTTATATAAGTTTTATGCACACCCTGACGTTTACAGCCAAACTTAATTTTCATTGTAATTTAAATATAGGTATTTTATTTACAAATTAATTATTTTTATTCCTCATATAAATAAACTATTTTATTAGCTGACATTTAAGCTTAATAGCATCACTGTTTAATGGTATTGTCTTGACACATTTCGAAAAATCGATAATATGTAAATATCGAAAACTACATGTGACGTTTGTATTATTAAATGTTAAAAAAAACGTATTATTTTCATCCTGTATTAATGTACATAATTATATGAAAATTATTGCGTTATGACAATGAAATATAGCGCCACCTTTCAACAATTCTTTAAACGAAAAGCGGCAACAGATTTACTGTGATTTCTGTTCTCACATTCATATTGAAAAATTTTTATTTACGACCTTAAGATGGCATTGCCTTTAACCGATGATTGTTGTTTATTTTTATTAACTGCTGTGAGCTGTGCAAAAACAAACAAACAACAAATACAAGCTAAGTATTTACTGCTTATAGACGAATATTTGAAAAATGTAACACATATACAACACGAGCAATTCAACTTTTTCAATGATTGAGCTTATTTTTATAATACATAGTTTAATAAAAGGAATTGAAATGTACTAAAGGCGATGTCAGTGGTGTAGTATTTGAGAATTCGTTGCTCTTCACGGTGTCTTTTGTTTAGAAATACTTTTATATTTGCTGCATTTTTTAACTCTGAAGCAAATATTCTCTGTCCCAGATATTCAACGTATTCATAATTTTTTATCCGTACTTAGCTTTATTTCATTCTAATAATGCCCCAATAGAAGTTTTCTTTTTCCTTTTTTTATGTGAGAAGGTGGCAAGCGAGCTGGCGTTTCACCTGATGTTAGATGATAACCGCCGCCCATGGACATCTGCAACACCCGTAGGGTTGCAGATACGTTGCCACCTTTTAATAAAGGGGGCCCCTGCTACCTCACTCATCAGTCGAACGTAGAAGTAAAACGCTTCCACTTTAAACCGGTCTTCTATGCGCTCGTCAGTGGTACTTACCCGGACGGACCTGCCCACTTCTGCAATAGCGAAGACTTTTGGGGCCCTACCAAACCAAATTATTGTAACAACGAAAGAAAGAATTATTCCTTTGTATGCTTCGATCGCGAGATATCAGGTGCATCAATGATGATGATAGTCGCGCGACTTAAATACACATTATTTACTTACATCTCACAAGTAACACAACTCTCAAAAAATTAACATAAGTAACATGGAGTATTTTATGATTACATTACATATTATTTATGATTAAAATTGTAGGTTATGATTATGCATTTTCGATCGCAACGCCATCTACTCTTACATCTTTTTTACTGTGATAAGGCCACGCAACAGTTCGCTGTTCGACGAATGGCAAGATCCGTTCAGGGAAGTACCACGAGAGGCAGTTATCACTTTGTAAGTGAAAGTTTTTCTTTTATGTGAAAAAGTGGCAAACGAGCTGGTGGTTTACCTTATGATAAGTAATAACCGCCGCCAATGGACATTTGGAACACCCGTAGGGTTGCAAATGCGTTGCCACCTTTAAATAAAGTGGGCTCCAGCTCCGGCTCACTCACTCACCAGACGAAATGCCGAAGTGTAACACTTTTACTTTAAGCCGGTTTTCTGTGAGGTCGTGGTACTTACCCGGACGGACTTACCCATTCGTGCAACAGTGAAAACTGTTGCATGACCCTACTAAAGTAATTTTGGGGAACTATGAGAGACCAAACACAACTATATATCATCTGTGAATACAGAAGACCGGCGTCAAGTAGAAGTATTATGCTTCTACTTTTCGTCTGGTGTATCAAGTAACACACTTTATTGAAATGTGGCAACGCATCTATAACTCTACGGGTGTTGCAGATGTCCATGGGCGGCAGTTATCACTTTTTTTTTCTTTTTTTTTTTGGGCGCCTAGCCTGAACCTCGGTGTATTATTTGGGCTCGGGCGCCTAGGGAGGCCGCCAAGCTCTTAGGGCGCTTTGGCGGACGCTCCAGTGGTTACCACTTAGTAAGTGAAAACTTCTTTAGGCGCATTGATCACTTTTGGGTGAACAAAAATCATGGAACTAACGTCATCGACACCGAACGCTTCCCATGAGATTTATGTGTACTGTGTATATACGTGTACTTCTTGGGTGAATAAAAAGCGTGAAACTCACGTCATCGTCAATCATTTTTAAAAAAAGGAATACGCATAAATATATTTGTAATTGTGGATAATAACAATATTTTATCATATTATGATAAAATATTGTTAAGGAAAAGACAATCTTTATTGATCTAATATTTACAAGATTAAATCTATTGAAAATAATGTAATTTTATTCACATTTCACCATTCTCATTTAGTATTATTATCTAAGGTTGAATCTGACTTCAAGTCAAGTCTAACATAGTTCATAATATTGACTATCTAAAAAAATAAAAGGTATATTAAATTGACACCCTATGTAAATTTTCACATGGTCACCCCGACTACGCAGTTTGAGTGTCCATTAAGCATATTAAAAAGAAAAAAAAAACATTGGCGCCATTTTCACGTATTAACAAATCCAGTTCCTCGCTGTTGCAATTCATCAGAGGGCCGGTGTTAATGATATCAAAGCGAAACCACTTAATCGGATGCCCACGTATTTGGAATTACATTGGCGTGAAGCGAGACCTGGATGGATAAGCCCCTTTGTGGTCCAATTGCATCGTTTTGGGGGTGCAATTGTATCAGTGCACATCTCCGCGAGTTCGCTTTGCTTTGGTCAACGCATTGTAATAGTTGAAGCTCTATCGGGCTCATAATAAAAGGATTGCTGGTTTCACGTCGTTTTTTTTGGGTTCCGTTCACTAAGAGGAAAGACCTCGTAAATCTTTCAAGAAGGATGTACTAATAGATCAATGTAAGGGTAAAGTAAAAAAGATGCAAATTTGCAATAACACCAAGTGAATATAAACTTATTTTTAACTGACCGGAACCTATGTAATATGTCAATGTATTAGTGTTTCAACGGCAATGTTATGTGTGTCCGTCAATCCAGTTTACCGGAAAACCTACCACAAAATGGATTAACTTCGTTCTTAACGTCGTCGTTCTAAAATAGTATAGGTATATTACTGATATAGTTTCATTTAACTATCCTCGTATAATTCTACGGTTAAGTAGAACATCTCTATTATTAATTATGTATATGTAATATTATAAATGTGAATATAATTTTTGTTGTTACGCTTTCACGCCAAAATACTCAATCCATTATCATAAAACTTTGTACACATATTCTTTGAGGTTTTAAACACGGAGCGGAGAGGCTACAGGAGGTGAGCGAAGTCGCGGGCGAAAAGCTATTTTTAAATATTTTAACCATAGGGCGTTTGTTTCTCTTGCACTGTGATGGCGCACTATATTTTGGATTGTAAGCAACTCAAGCAATTTCTCGGTGTGAATGCATGTGTATGTGCAACTGTGGTAAATAATTGTTTTCGTAATTATTTATTTGCAGCATTCAGTTTCGTATTAGGAATCCGTACATCCAACCCGAATTCAATTTTGTATATTTTTTTTCAATTTCCAAAAATTTTGTATATGTACATTTCTACCTTAAGCTTGCTGTCTATAGGCCCGTTTCGCCCCATTCTTCAGGCCAGTATATTTACATACACCGTTCATCTGGTATGATGAATGTATAGGCTTTTTTTTCTGTAAGGGTGAAAAAGCGAGATCGTCCATCTATACATATAGGTATAGTGTTTAAGTTATTATTAGCAGTTTCAAAATGAACACAGTATCTGTGACTGTAAATTCATAGGCAGATCTGAACTGCCTTTTGATCTTTTAAACTGTAAATGATTCGGTATAAGATTTTTGAATAAAACTACTTGACGGTTTTTGTTGCGTTACGGTCCGTAGAGAAGTTTAAATAAATAATAGCGGCATTATTTATATGTTTTCATTTTTAAAGAAAAAGTCTGAAGTCTTCGGTTTTGTGTGCGACTGTAAAGATCAACGGTTTTCATTAAGAACTGTAAGATATTTAAGGAAGTTTTAGTATTTACCTCAGACTAAAAGAATGAGACCACATTTTATTCTTTTAAGCTTTTACACAGTCGATGAAATTAATTTGTACGTACTTCTTCTATATATATCATTCCTGGCACCGAAGCCAATATAGCTTAGCAACTATCCTACCGAGTCATGTTCCCCAAACTGTGCCTACATTAAATAACGTTTCACTTTGGCGTGCGACGAATAACTCGCGTAAGTACCCGATAGTAAACAGAAACGTTGCAGACAATTATTTTAATCTTCACCATCCGTAGACAAATTGGATAATGGCCTCTGCAGGTGGCGCCCCCGCGGGAGGCCGGCGTCGCGAGCAGATGACGTTTGGACTGTCAACGCGGCGGAGCGGGAAAGCGATTTGACAGTCCGTTTTGGCGGTAAAATGTCTTTGGTGGTAAAATTTAATTACTGACTTTTAATACATTTATGGTTACAATATTAAAAAGGATAAAGTAATTATGTAAATTATGCCGGATGATCAAATCTTATTTATATTATCTTCAAGCAATATTTTTCTCATGGTTCACATTTAGTTACCTAAGATTTACAACTTCGAGAGTTCAGTTTTTTTGCTGATCTTTGTACGCAAATTCATATAAACGGATTTCTCCAATCAAAACTCTAATGAGACGAAAGACACGTATTTATTGGCTTCTTACCAAAACTTTTTATCTCGAAATCTCAAAAGCAAGATCAGACGATTTATTCTAAGTGTTGTTCTAAGAGTTCAAAACACTTGCTTAGCTTATAATGCTTAAGAAACCAAGCTGAATAATTTTAAGTTTTGTGTCCTGTCACCAATGATTCGTAATATTATACAAGAACAGAATATTAAGATATGCTTGTCATCTACTGTTTAATAATGTAGTTAGATACTGTTAGATAATTTTGGTAGAGCCATTCTGTAGCTTTTGCTATTGCACGAATGGGCAAGGGAAGTAAGTTTTATTTAGGAAAGTACCGCAGATTTGAGAAGCATAATGTTTAAGTACTTTCGCATATCGTCTGTGGAGTGAGGTTACTTGTTTTTCACAAATAAAAAGAATCAAAAATAAACGGAAACTTATGAAATTACGTTCATATTAAGCAGTATATTTCTGGTTCTTTATCTGGTACTTTTTATTATTTTGGAAGTATATGAATTAAAGAAAAAAAAATAGATTTTTGAACAAGTGGTTCGATTAACAACATTCGACCTACACAGTCTAGCTAAACAGTCATCATCATCCTTTTGCCTTTATCCCTCCTAGGTGGGGTTGGCGCAACATGTGAATCATGCTGTAATTGGTTTTCACTAGGTTACGACCGACCGCCTTCTTACAAATGCCGCCTACACACAAATACTTGAACCGTCTGGGAATCGAACCCACGACGCCGGGTTTTTTTTTTTTTTACGTGGGAAAAATCCTTTGTGGATCCCCCGCCGCCTTTTGGGTAGGCATCAGGGGTATGTGGGAGTTACGGGGTGCCCACTAAAAAACCCACGTTGCACCTGCGCTATCGCTTTGCCGGGTACACGGGAACACGAAAACGCAATCTTCCGCGAACCCCGGCGCGACTGTGGCCTTCTCAGGCCTCCTCTCACGACGGCGGGCACCTAAGCCAACAGCTTAGCAACTGCGCCACTACAATATATTATGCGATATGGATTTATATTCAAACTTTATCTACGCTATACTAGATGGCGTTGGCGTCGACCGAACGAATCTGACGAACAATAATCGAAGTACACTCGCGTTCATTCAAACGACTAAGAAATGGAAATCAGAACATTGAATTAGAATATATTAATATTTTACAAGCGGACATTTAAATTTTTACTTTATTTCAGGCTTACTTTGGGTATAACCAGGAAATTGTAAGATTTAATTTAGTTTACTGATAATTTATCTTTAGTGTCCACTTCGTAATTTTTTTTTAAACTTTAGTTATAAGTGTGATGAACTCTTTTTACCAATGTTGTGTATAGTATTGGTCCTATTGCAAAGAACACATAAATTATACTATATTTTGTGCTATTGGTGTGCCTAACAATAAATAAAAAATAAACAAATTACCAGAAGGTCGAAGAAAAGTGGTATTTATAATTATTTTTTTACTAGTTTCTGCAACTAAGCGGAAACTGAAGAAAGTGTGATAAAATTTTTCGCCGCTGCCGAGATCGAACCTGCACGTTCCGGATTACGTGTCTAAGTGCTCTATTCATCAAACTAGGTGGCCGACATCCTCAACGCGTGACAATAATGCCGAGTACTCAATCAATCAATCAATCAAAAATCTTTATTCAAATAGACGCTTGCGCGTTCTTATGAATCGTCAAATTTTACATAAAACATTATACATAGAGGGTCGTAAGGTACCACCGGTTCGGAAAGCAGTTTCTGTTGAGAAGAGACCGGCAAGAAACTCAACAGTTGCTCTTTTTCAAAGCTGCTAAAATGCAATAAAAAAAAAACAATAGAAGAAACTCTTTTATAATGTCCTTGATCAAGAGAATGATATAGGTCGGACCTGACGGGAGTCCGGCTAGACAATGGCCCACACATAGTGCTAACGCACCAAACCAATTAGTGCGTCAACACAACGGTTCTCACTGCCACCAGCCACCGAATAATAGTCACTTCACTAGATCTGAAGGGTTTCATGTCTAAATATAAAAAGAAAATATCCAAATATGGTCCAGAGATTGCGGATTGAGCAAAAGTTGAATTTATGGTTTGGTATTATTTTTTTCTAATTAATTTAATTGTCATTTGCCAAAATTATTTTAGAAAATCTTAATGATTAATAGTTTTACTATACATTAAAAATATTTAAACTTACGGATTACTTTAAAAATATTTATAATGAAAAATTTAAAATACAGAGCAAATTCCCGCCAGTAAAATCGTTACAGACTATATATTTAAAAACTACGAGCGGCGAAACGTTAAAAGACAAAAGGAGAAATTTGTACAAAGAAATCAATCGCAATCGAATCAAGAATACGTTGGCTTCGAGAGGGAGAGAGACGCCCTAATTCGTATTTGCCCGCGTCAAAAGGGGTCCAATATACCGTTAATCCTATTGGCTTATACCGGCCGACGTTTGCCACGATTGGTCGCTCTGCTTTATTGAACTGTCACTGAAGACTGCGGTTTAGGGGTTGCTGTAATTCGGGGGCAAATGGGAGTGAAACGGAACGGTGCTGGGGGATGGGGACGGGATGGAAGTACGTTTTACGGCGCGGGGTTTGGCGATTGACTTGTGGATAGTTTTTGGGGTTCCCTTCGATGAATTGCTTAATTTAAATTTGGAATTTTACTTTTTCTTTTAATATTAAATCAGTACATCTTGTCTTAAGCTATTTTGAATATTGTTTAATGTACGTATTTTATAATAAGTTTTTATATTACATTTAAGATGCAAAAATGCAAAGATGCAAAAAGACTAATAATTTAAATTACGTTGATATTAGCCCTTTAGCTCTGGAGTTGAGCGTCTGGGCGCGATAACGGAAAATCTTTAAATTTTTCTACAAATTTTAATTACTGTTGTGTGTATATTAAATACGTTTGACAATTTTTCTAACCTTCACTGTCTTTACCACAGGATATATAAGGTATACCCTGTTGTATTATTAGAGGATAACTCTACGCATTTTTTCTTTGACTGAAATTTAACTGGGATTCTTTAACAATAAGCTGAGGAATATATTAACATTTTAATAATTCTTAACGATTAACTTAACTAATAGAATCGTCAAATGGGCAAAAAATTAAAATTTTTGCCCATTTGACGATTCTATTCGTAAAAATACAAACACTTATTTAAATAGAAGTGATACAAGAAGAATTATTTAAAATGCTTAAATGTATACTACATTTAAGCATTTTAAATAATTGATTTTCCTATCTATTTTAAAGTTTTACATTTTATATAGGTATTTCTATCTTTATTACCTTCCACAATATTTAGAATACCTACGGACGAATATCACAATGTCCTTTGCCCGCCAAAACTCCCGATTGGACGACGAAAGCGCGCGAAAATGTTGACTTTTCCTCTTTGATGGCGGCTCGCGAAACGCGATTCGCCACGCCCTGCACGTAATGCTCCCTTTTTCTTATTGGGCGAGATATCAAATTTCATTGCGGTATAAATGGTTATGGTACGCTTTATATACGCACTTATTGCTAGTCGATTAATTCAATATTGATACAATACAAAATTACTTGCCGCACACACACATTTGGAAATTTTTAGATAATCGATAATGCAATTTTTATTCTAGGTATAAATATTTAGATCTTCCATATTTTAAATAAAATATTAATAAAAAATTATAGGTTTTATATGAATAAAGAATATTTATCAAATAAAGAATCCTCTACATATGTAGAGGACACGGTAGTATCGATAAAACATTGACTTGATTTATTTTTCACGCACAAAAATTTCAATACGCCAATATCTGTTCAATTTCCCTTCGTGAAATATACGGCGTCATTATTCTAAACGGCGTGCCGGCGCGGAGCCGTAATGCCACAAATTAAAGCTTAAAACGGACGCTTAACAGCTGACCCAAAATCGAAGCCACCCCTCGCAAGGGGGTTTCGTCAGTAACCCCTTGAATGTTCGGCCAACTCCGCAGACGTGGAGGTGTTCGACGTAAATTTAATTTACTCCCCGAACATCGGACCGTACTATGTGCGTAGGTAAAATAGATGTCGTAACATCACTACGATTTTGAGGTTGATTTTCAGCCGTTCACCAAATATTGGAGCCAACATAAAAATATATTTGGCACCGAATGTTCGTACAGTCCGAGTCGACGTATAGAGGTAGAGTCAGACGCGAAAAGCGACGGGGCGGAGCCGCCCCGCCTTCGAGCTAAGCTCATGGCAACTGTGTCCGCGTCAAAAGTGCTCCGGCCGCGGCGTGACGCGCGCGACTCTCGCCCGGTTTAAAAAAAGAACATCAAGTGTCACTCCCTCGTTCCTTAATTATCTGTGGTATTAATTTTATATAAAACTCTTCACTCACACTTTCCGCATTTATTTTTTGGTATCGAACGTTTTTAACATCGTTAAATTATTTCATCTCGCAAATTGCCGCACCAGTAAAATTTTAAGTGTAGTCAATAGAAAAAATAAGAAAGAAATTTCTCATTTCCTAACTAAAATATTCACTTTAATTGAAAACTTCATTATATCTTATATGAAATGATCTAATTGATTGATTGTACGATAGTTACCAGACAAACTTTTTTAATTTAGAAAATGCTGTGAAAATCAAATTGTGCGATCACAGTAAGTGTTTTTGTCAGAAAAGAGACAAAAGACAATGGAAGTAGCGCAAACTCCACTCCAACTGACTCAAGAACATCAAGAAAGCAGGATCACAGGTAATTTATTATTGTAAAATTTGCATTTACAATAGAAAAATACTGACAATAAAGATATACTTCTTTGGCGATATTAACAACATACCTGTTTTGTATTCAAATTAAGCAAACGACCATAGACAAAAATAAATACTACCAGAATAATTTTAAATTGGGTCATTGAAATCTGATCAGTTTTACTAGACGCGCCCTTAGAAGAAGGTACTGTAGAGATTTTTAAAATCGGGGTTCACCTAAAAACGCGGCATAATTATCCCAAACGTCGGGAATTCAGCATATTTTTTATAAATACGGCATTTATGAATAGCTGTACGCAAGATTCTTGACCAAAGTACATAATGTTTGAAGATTTCTTCATTCTGTTTACAAAGTCCGAATTTCAATCATGAACAGATTTTGAGCGTGAGGTTCAGTTATTAACAGCGTTAAATCCCGATCCAAGAAGATAGCCGCTGTAAAGCTGCGGACTAAAATGAATAATCCTTTTACTGACGGTGGTCAGTGATTATGAATGCTGCAATTTATTTGAAATGCCGGTAAACCTTTACTTTATTCTTTCATTTTTCTTTCATTTAGCCTATATATATGTCCCACTGCTGGGCATAGGCATCCTCTGTACAAAGGCTTTAGGGCATAGTCCACCACGCGACCCTGCTGCGGTTTGGCGGACTTCGCATATCATCGAAATACTATTTTGGAAATATGCAGCCTTCTTCACGATGTTTTCCTTCACTGCTAAGCATGTGATAAATCAGTAGTTGAAATTTAATGAACAATTTCATTGTTGCCGGCACCGAATCTCAGTAAACCAGAATTATATCCATAAAGTAATATTGTTGACTGCTTGTAATCGCTTCGCGTACTAGGGATTCAATTTAGACTGCACGGAATGGATATTGATCGTGTAAAGATGAAATTATACTTAATGCTCAAACATGATCAAATACAAGATTGCATAAATTTTGCGAAGGGTCGTAGAATTATTTTCCATATGAGGTAGAGTAGGGCGACCTCTTACTAGATGGAGTGACGACCTGTGCAAATGTGCGGGAAGTCAATGGATGCAGGTGGCTCAGAATCGTGCTTCGTGGCAGTCTATTGAAAAGTTTTCTCCGGCAGTGGGATAGAGCCTGGTGAAATGATTATGGTTAAAGTAGAGTCAAGGTAGAGTCTGCTTTCACTACCTAATGACAATATTGCAAGTAAAGATTGACTTCTGTTAGTAGTATTTTAAAAGTATTGAAGGAGACCTATAATTATAATTTATTCACGGAAATGCATCACTATTTCACCGCGTTATTTTGCGTTTCTATAGTTCAATAGCCGTGATAGCTCAGTAATATAGAGCCGTGATAGCTCAGTGTCCGAGCGCTCGCCTTTAATTTAATATACTCGAGCAACCTGAGTTCGATCCCCAGTGCCAGCACCAATGAAATTGTCAATTTTAAGTGCTGAATTATCACGTGCTCAGCGGTGAAAAAAACATCGTGAGGAAACCTGCATATTTTCGAAATAATAACAAAAAAAAATATTTAGAAGATATGTGAAGTCCGCGTGGGGCCGCGTGGTGGACTATGCCCTGATACCCTCTGTACAGATGAGGCCTATGCCCAGCAGTGGGACATGTATAGGCTGATACTTTACTTTACTTTAGTACAATACATGTGTAGTGAAACAGAAGCTGCTAGGGCGATACTGTGGATATGTATTGGTACTAAATCTTATCCACTATTACACTTCTCCGAGTAAACACATTTGGAGGTACCAATTTGACCTATAACAAGTTACCGACCGACGGATTTGGGGTTCGGAGAACTTCCACGAGCGACGCTAAAAGACGCAACCTGCATGTAGACATGCGCGTATTGCCTACACACTTTTTGTACTGTCCGCTGGCCTGAGGAAATTTTCACGACCAGCGACCATCACGTTCGAAAATTGATTAAACTTAATGAATAATATCAAAATTTTGTTTCACATTGAGCCAAATTATTTGCGTAGCACTGGTTTTTCCCCCGTTATTTTTTGCAAATAGATACAAAATTTAGAGGTGCTTTCTTTTAGACCTGCAAAGGTTATTGTAAACCACATCTTAGGTCCTCTTATCAATATCCTCAATAGAAATAAAATATTCCTAAAATATGTGAAGTCTGCCGGGGTAATGTTACGTCGCGACTATTTTGGTTCCGTAACAATCCGGCCAAAGAGATGTTGCTAAAAACGTAATATCTATTTTCTGAAAGAAAACAAAGCAACGCAATGAATTAATTGCATCACTTATGATAGATATTAGTGCTTTCAATCCGTAGACTATATAAAGAGTCATCGGGCACGGTAATAGTGTATTGTAATTTTTTATAAAAAAGTAGAAAGCGGTAAAGAAATAACACAAAGCTTATTTCAACATAAAACGTTTTACGAATTTTGTACGGTTTTCGCTATTCCTTCTTGCGCAGATCGCGTTGAAATAATCCTAACATTGCCTTTAGCCTGGGTTATTTGTGACGTTAAAACTTTAAACAATTATATAATTACAAAAAGAGAGATCGAAGAAAAAGAAAGAAAAAAAAATATATAATACTAGGTCACTTTAAAATGATGGGAATAAAGAAAAACAGGATTCAGCAGAACTATTCAGCGGGGAAATGCAGCTAGCGTTATTGGCACCACATAACGAAATGGTGCATAAAACATAAACATGTATCGATATGGTGCCAAGTATACATAGATAATGGACGTGCCAAGTATATTTACGCTTAACATTTTAATTTAATTATTACTTAAAATAACTAAATTGTCTATGTCTCTTATATTTTTGCCATGAAAGGTATATTTTTAGGCGACGAATAAAGTTTTTTACTATTATTCCTTCATTCATTTTTAGTCTAGAAATTGGAGAAATTTGCATTTTAAAAAGAAGTGAGAATTATATTCTCCAAAATATTGTATATAATGTAAATATGTATGAGAAAAAATGAGTCTTTTCCTAAAATTTGTACAGTATTTTGATTTAGTTGTTTTGTATTCAAGGGAGACAGTCACTGTCTATTTTGGCTTCGGGAAGATAAAAACTGAATGAAATTAAATCTTATAAAACTTACTTAACTTACATATATTTTTTTTTAATTGCGTACAAAACATAAGATCTTGCTCCGCCATTGCATTACAACAAAAAAAATATTTGAAATTCTCGACCACAGATAATCACCAGCGCGCTCCGTCCGCGCGGCATAATCTGTGCCGGATCAAACAGAGAAAAAACCCGCTGATTACGAACAATCGCGGCGGCGGGACGATATTCGAAATTCGAACGCGTTTATTCGAAAATTAAATTTCAAATCCCCCGCTCCGCAATAAAGATACATTGGCTGTTTTGTATTCGGAACACTCGCTGACCGGCTAAAGTGGCAAATCATGGAGAGGCTGAGAATCAGTCAAATAGACCCCGAGTTACAGCCACCCGCTCGCTGCATACTAATGCTCGCGCCGCCATTTCAGCCATCGAGAAATCGACCGAGTTGACGGTAACTTTGTCTAGTAATTTTAAATAAATAAAAAATCCGGCTAAGTGCGAGTCGGACTCACGTATCTATAAAAACTTCAAAAAATCGTGTCTGTTATATGGCAGCCCCACTTAAACATTTTTCACGATTTTTTTATTCTGTTTTTAGTCATCGGTGAAAATGTCAACTGTGTAACTATCACAGTTCATGAGATACAGCCTCGTGAAAGACGGACAGACAGATTGCGGAGTCCTAATAATAGGGTAGCCGTTTTATCCTTTGGGTACGGAACCCCAAAAATGAATTCGTTTTAATTTTAAGCTCTCCACGTATGCATTTGACGACCCGATTGGCATAGGGATAGAGGACCTGTTGTCTCCTGCGCCAGAGGGTTTGGGTTAGATCCCCACTACTGGAAAAATATTGTGTGTTAAAAATATTTTATCTTATATATATATACTTATAAGTTAACATTGTATTTATTTATTAGTGTTTAGACAAACTCTATCTTGAGGATTTTAGTAGAGCCTTTTTTATTCCGCATTATTTGCATACTCACTTTTATACCTAGGTGAAAATCGGTAAATTTTGTACGTTTCCTTGCATTCATCAAAGATCTACGGACGTTTCGGCCGAAACTAGTTCTTTAAATGTTAATTTTGTTAATGTTTGGCAGAAACTACTCTAGGTCGAGGCGTGTTTGTTTTGCGCAGCTGTTCCTAAAGTGAGTTTAAATTTATATACAGATAGATGAAACTCTTTTATTTGATTAAGTAAAAGAGTCTGTCTATATTTTATTCTGTTTGGTTTTATTCAATTATCGTACGTCCCTCTCTGAGAACGAACAAAGTTGTAGATAAAGAAGTAAAAATTATTGAAGAAATTTTCTGGCCGAGGCACTTAATACGAAAAGCAAAAAGCTCCGATGAAATGTGCCAATTTCTCTGCTCTATGGCCGCTTGTCTCGACGGGACCTAACACATCCTCAAAGAAGTGTTGCAAGAGTTTAAAATATATAGCGGGCCATAAACAATGGCCTGTGGTCTTTGGTAGATCT